AGAGTGGGAGGATTGGGAGGACGACGAGCCTATCACGCCCATCGACGCTGGGGAGCAAGTCTCTCCAGCTCCGCTGAATGTGTCCACTCGAAACTCCAAACCCCCAACGCGACGTGCATCGAGAGTCTCTGCTGCAAGAATTGTCCGAGTCAAATCACGCCAGAGACAGAAGGTCCAGAATGCCAAGGCAGGCATCAAGCTTATCACAGACATGTCTACATTTCGCCGCCAGAACTACATGCCAACCCCGGCAGGACGAGCTGGGAAATTTGTAGACGCTGCTGCTCTCAAGGCATTGGAGGGAGAACCAACGTCGGCTTCAGTAGGAAATTGGAATTGGTTCAAGAAGAGCAAGGACCAAAGCCCAGCAACTGCTTCGCCGCTGTCATCAGCCCAGCCAGCTCAATCAGCACGTACACCAGACAACAAGCTCTCGCCGGATGACAGACCCATCGTCATTGGTCTGGCTCTCTCATCTGAGGAAGCGGGCAGCTCTTCCCGGTATGACGCCGCTCCAACACCCATTGAAACTCCAGCACACCCCTATTTGCCTCGAAACCCTTCTTCTTCAAACCTGTCTCCATTTCCAGTTCAGCAGAAGTCAGTGTGGTCACCTGATACACCCGACACCGTTTCCTCATTCAGCACCATCCGATATGCCTCAAGTATCTATTCACAGTTTCCATCTCCCGGCACGACAACGGCCGTCAATGTTCCGCCCGTGCCTGCGGTTCCAGCAAACTTCAAGAAGTCAGCTCATCAGAGGCTCATCAGCTTGGAACTCGGAGGCAGAACCCCCGATGACTCTGATGGCGGTACGCCATGCACACTGTTTGAAGAAGATGGCACCTCGAGCCCACAGAAGCAAGCAGGGGGAAAGACATCAGCACTGACGCCCGATAGTGCTGCATCCAAGTCCCGTGGCTGGTGGGATCATCATGTTGTCACACCTTTTATGGAGAACAGACTGACATTCACTACCAGTCCAAAGGTGTATACTGACTCACCAAAGACTATCCGAGGGGATGAATGGTGGAACAAGCAGGAGACCAAGTCTCCTCAAGGAGGATATCTGACACCGAGCTTGGCTCCTGGCCCATTTCAAACACCAATTGTCAAAGAACCGACGCCACGCAGGACACCATCTCCCCGTTATGAGCACACCCAAGAGAGCGAATCTGGACCTTCAACTGCAAGGGCATCCCCCGTTCCTGAAACCATATCCATTTCAGAAAAACCACAAATACTTGTGACCGAGGAAGAAGAAAGTACCGGGGAACAGTTGCCTGCATACTCGCCTCCCGAAAAGAAGAGTCAGGCTGCTCCAGTAAGGTATAGGGCTGTTTTCCCGCCTGGACACCCACTTCAAAGCCAGTTTCCCCCCTCGCCCGGTCCTGTATCTCCTGGTCTCTCCTCTACCATGTCATCGCAGCGAGCTGAGCAACTGACTGATATTCCACTTACTCCGGCCCCGCGAGACAACCTGCGTCTCTCTCAAATGCCTCTCCCAACACGACCGCTGGGAACATCTGCACCCCGCGAATACTCCCATGGCGAAGCCGAACACGCCACCAGACAGGAGCGTCAGAGAAGACGAAACGAGAAGGAAGAGGCTGTTGCTCGGCGCCTAGGTGGCTTCTGGAGAGGCCGAGGATGTATTCCAGACAGGGGTTGCTTTGGTCGGACTGGACGCGAGGGTCGACAGCGACGCCGTGTCTGGATGATTATTCTAGGAGTTCTTCTTGCCGTTATCATTCTTTCGATCACTTTAGGCGTTGTTCTGACACGCCCCAAGCATTCAGAGGAAGTGCCATCAATCTGGGTCAACTTGACGGATTTCCCACCCATGCCAACCGGAGACTTGTCAATTGTTGGACCGGACAATACTGTCGCAAAGAGTGGCTGCACTGAGCCATCCACCTTGTGGAGTTGTTCTCTACCAAAAGAACAGCATGACTCGGTGAAGCCTTACAAGCCTGACCAGCCAACCATTATGCTGCAGATCCAGTGGGACAACAGTACCCACAACGATTGGAAAACCCCCAACGAGGAACCCCCCTCGTTGAAGGTGCGTCGAGGTATGGGCGGCGCCGCATATGCGGGAGGCACTATTCGGGCACGGGAGGCGCCCGGCTTTGAGCCCAGTCCCAGCCCACCCAGATTTCAAGAGATGTGGTTTCTGGGAAATACAACCGACAATATCAAATCCGATAAAAAGGGCGGCGAGGCGACTCCATTCTACATCAGTCTGGTTGATTCTGTCGAGGAGAGTAGCCGCAAAGAGCTGACCAAAAGACAAGAACTGGACGTGAATGTCAGCCTTGCTGAAGTGCTCCCATCCCCTGATCTCAACGAGAATGGCGCATCCAAACCAGCTGTCCTGCTCCCGCAGCCGGTACAGCAGCCAGTGAGGCTCTACGACCGCGGGCTTCCGACCGAGCACTACGGCTTTTACACCTACTTCAGACGAGCCATCTTCCTTAAGTCGGTAACGGTTCTTAATGATACCAAGGATGGAGACATTCCCCTAGACGAGGACGGCGGCTGTCGGGAGACAGAGGCTGATTTCATCGCGACTTGGAGCGAGACACGTTTTCTCGTTCAAATCTGGACACGGACACTGGCTGCCAACACATCGAAGCTGATCGATCCTACTGGGCAAGGCGCCATCGACGGATCACCAGAGCTGATTCGGCCAGGAACGATGCCGTACCCGGTGACGGTGACGATGGATACACATGGAGGAGACCCAGGGAAAAAGTTTGTCTGGGCCTGGCCTATCGATGATAGACAGAAGATTGATGAAGAGAACCCCAAGCTACTAGCCAACGACATAGGAGCTGGTGGCACGTGGATCAACAAAAGGTCTCGAGGAGACGAAAAATTTGGCGGATTCGACGGCGGGACCGGAGGATGTAAATGCCAATGGGTGAATTGGGTGTCGAGATGATCACCATCAACCTATTAATTAACTAATGATGAGATGCATGCAGATAGATACTTATGCATCTAACATGAAAGCATTTTTCCAGGAAAGGGCGTCGTGGCATATTCAATCATGGAGGGTATTTTAGTTACAAGTTATCATGAGATTAGTCTAATGTATTGTATTAGCTAATCTCTGCTTCTACCACTGCTTCTATTATATCTGTTCCATGTGAGCTCCGTCTTTGATATTATTCCGCATCCCCCCACCCTGCCCCGACGAGTGGGGCCGTTCCGTGTTGGGGCCGTGGCCCAAAATAACTGCACATCGAATACCGTAACTGGATGCCTTCAGATTTGTCTTATCATTACCCTTTGACAAAACCCCCAGATTCTTCACGCAGATGCGCTCTCTTCTTCCTCAATGCCGCCATAAGGGAATACTCCTTGGCTCCAGGCCTCAAAGGCTTCGGCTTCTCACAACCCTCGCCATCGAGACATCCTGTGATGATACGGGCGTGGCCGTTCTTCGGCATACACCAGAATCAACTGAACTCCTCTTCAATGAGCGCATATCCTCTGATAACCGCGCTTTCAAGGGTATACACCCAATTGTAGCGGCCAAGGGCCACAGTGAAGCTTTAGCACCTCTTGTGCGTCGAGCAATAGACTCTCTGCCAGCTGCTGAAGATGATGGCCAGAAATTCTGTGATGCTGGTGGCGTGAGAAGGCAAGTTCCAGACTTTGTGTCGGTGACTCGTGGACCTGGGATGCGCTCGAACCTAGGAATCGGCCTGGACATGGCAAAGGGACTGGCCGTTGCTTGGGGCGTCCCATTGGTAGGCGTCCATCATATGCAGGCTCATGCGTTGACGCCGCGACTGGTCCGGGCTTTGGGAATGAGGATGGGCGAGGAGGAAGTATCTCAAGAGGGACCAGAATTTCCTTTTCTCTCCCTACTTGTTTCAGGCGGACACACTCAACTTGTTCACTCAAGAGGCCTAACAGAGCATTCTATCATTGCCACAAGCGGCGATATTGCTGTTGGCAATCTTCTGGACCAAACAGCTCGCGATATACTGCCTCCCGAGGTCTTCGAAGCAAGCGAGCATGTCATGTACGGTCGCCTTCTTGAAGCCTTTGCCTTCCCACCAGAAAATAGCCCAACTTCTGCCTATGAGGCTGTTTTCACACCACCAGCTTCTCGCTCCGCAGAGATGTCTCCTCCGTCCACAGGGTATGAGTGGAACATCCCCACGCCATTTCGGCAGACTAGAAAGCTTGCGTTCTCTTTCAGTAGCATCTACACACACGTTCACGATCTCGCAACCTCCCGCCCCTCCATGCCTCTGCCTGAACGCCAGGCCCTGGCACAGCATACCATGATGGCAGCTTTTACACACCTCGCAGGCAGATTATGTATCGCCCTTGACGACAAGCCAGAGCTTCGAGCTGCAAAGACACTAGTTGTAGCGGGCGGAGTAGCGAGCAATGGATTCCTTATGCATGTACTGCGGTCTATGTTGGCTGTAAGGGGCTTTGGTGACATACAAATTGTTGCACCGCCTGCAGAGTTATGCACAGATAATGCAGCCATGATTGCATGGTCGGGCATGGAGATGTATCAAGCTGGCTATGAGTCTGAGTTGACCGTGACGGGCATTGGAAAATGGTACATGGACCCCGAAGTTGGGGACGGGATATTGGGGGTTGATGGGTGGGTGAGAAGAGACACCAGGGGCTCAACTCCTGAGAAGTCATGAGAAAATGGTGAGACTCTTTCCACCGTGAATATACTACCAGTCAGTATGAGCGGTGTTGGCTTGACACGCCGGATAATATAGCGTTCATTGTACTGTAATTTATTTGACTTTATGTCGACATCACTACGAGGTATTGGGGTTTTGGATATCTGTTCTTTGGCAGTGCAAAGCCGTCGTCTGATATATTACACAGTCGTTCTGGATTCCAGGTCCTGTAGACGCGCAAGCGCCACCTCTATCCCCCAGGCTGCATCTGTCTGCACGTCTCTATTCCTAGGCTGACAGCATCTTCATTTCTAAACCCAGAATCCTCTAATCAAGTGCGCTTGTCACGTTGGTAAACTCGCCCTTCTCAAGCTTGGTCTTCCAGAAAATGGGGTTGGTGTCGTTGAAGCCGTGCTTCACCCAGCCCTCTTCCTTAACGTGGTACAGGTTGATGTAACCACCGGAGTAAGCATCTCGGTGGGTGGCGGCCAAAATACTTCGCTTTCCAAGCTCCAGAGCCTCCTCATCCGACAGATCGTACTTGTACTCGGCATCGAGAACACCATACGCGAATGTTTGACCCGAGCCAACGCAGAAGAGGTTGCCCGCCAAGCGAGTACCGTCGCTGTCGACATAGTAGAGAGCAGGGCCTTCCTCCTTGGTGACACCGGCGCACATGGTGCCCATGCTGAGGCCCATTCCCTTGTAACTGTAGACGAGGTTGGCGAGGATCTTGCTGGCGGCGGCAACGCTGATGCGACGCTTGTGTCGTAGCTCATGGAGGCGACACTGCATGCCGAGCCAGGCAAGCCAGTACTGACAGTCTGCAGCACCACCAGCCATGGTTCCTAGCAGGACGCTGTTGATCTCAATAACCTTCTTTACGGTTTGCGAGGCGATCCAGTTGCCGGCGGTGGCTCGGGAGTCGGTCGCAACGATGATGCCGCCCTGGAAACGGAAAGCGAGCGTGGTGGTTCCGTGGGCGATCTTAATGGGGCAGTTGGGGTTTGATCGATCATCAGTGGCAGCGCGAAGCCATGATGAGGGCTACAATGATACAATCAGTATAATATTCAGAGTGGCCAAGATGACGCCTAGGGTACGAACCTGAGCAACGGGGGGCATGGCAAACTTGAGCGAGAGATCACCCATGGAATTTAGCAGCTCATCCTGGTCCTCAAAAGGCTCATTCTGCTCATATGCTGGTCGGCTATATTTCGAAACAAGAGAATCCATCTTGGGTTTGTTGAAGAGAAGCAGTAGCAGCAAAAGAATCGTCTTGTAATCCTTCGTCCTTGAGCTGAGCTGTATGCCCTGAATTCAAACTTCGGGTGGCGTGCAAAAGGTGGAGAGAAGTCTTTTCCCTGGTCGTGATGCCTTCGTTATATCGTTCGTGATCGAGATTGGTGTTGTTGACGTTGACGTTGACGTCGACGTGCGTGGGTGATGATGATGATGGGTGCTGTGAATTCGGGAGCGGAAGCGGAAGTACAGTAGAAGTGGGAATTGAAGCTCCAGACAAGGAAGCTGAGGCTCAGGCAGCTTCCGTTGCGCGCGTCAACTGAATGCCACCTCCAACTTAGGTACGTACCTTTTCCTGAGGTGGTCGGCGGCGGGGGGGACAGGACAGTGGGGCTGCAGGTGAACGAATGCCTGGTTATCAAGGCTTTCAACATCCCAGCCACAAGCACGTTCCTTTGGCAGTGTCTTCTTAAATCTTAGGGTACAACATCTAAAGAAAAGGTTAAGGCATCATGTTATATGTACATATACTTATATTAAAAGAGAAAAGGTATTTTATTCGTTCATTGATCGCTTCTTAGTCTCTGACCAAGTTCCCCAGGTTCCTCGTTTCCTTGCCCAATACGCCAAAGAAAAACACTAATCAAGGGATATCACTCTCACTGACTCCCACCAATTCACAGACGTAAAACATACTAATTTACGCCTTGCACCTCTTAGTAGAGCATCCTCCTTGATTCGTCAAAGAACCTATTGTCTCCTTTCTTCACTGCCGGCCCAGATATTACCCCCCAAGATTTGCTTCTGAATTAAACAAAAGAAAAAGAGAAAGAAAAAGAAACAAGCACTTGAAAGGAAAGATTTAGTATAGTGTCTCAATTGCCTCAAGACTCGTGTGAAATGAAATACCCTGTCATTACCCAGCTAATGAACCGTTTCTGCTTAAGGGTTTGGCGTCACTTCCCGACTAGTTCGCCCATCTCGCTTGCTCATGAAGCTTCGGCGAAGATGGGCTTTGGGACTATCGGGGACCAGGGTAGACTCTGTTGGTTGGAAACTGCTCTTCAGTGTCACTGTTCCACTGCCTACTGTGAGCTCCTTGGCAGTAGATGAGCCTGACTCGTCAACAAAGTAAACATGCTCGCCCAGATCATCATCACTGCTGAAAGTGTGCTGTCCCTTGGCTTCGATCTTGAACTGTGCGTCGGGCGAGCATGGGAATTTAAATGTATCGCCGAAGGTCCACTGACCATTCGTAGACTTGAAGTGCTTGGTCTTGCCCACTGTCTTCTCCTTGGGGTTGATCTGCGTGATGACGATATACAGATCCGATGCGGGAGGGAAGCCTGTGGCCTCGACCACAGTGAAGGAAGCAGTGCCTCCTGGTGCAGCTCCGGGATTAGCGCTGTGGACTGATGACTGTCCAATGCTCTTTGCCCGAACATGGCCGTTGCTTGTAGAAGGCCGAGTACCAGGTGACGTGCCCTCCTCGTTGATGGCGGGTGACCGGCGGAGACCACCATTGGTGCTTGCAGTACCATTAGAGCTCAAGCCTTGAGGTTCAAACACCTCACCATCTTCTTCGATAATGTCCCCATTGTCCTTTTTGTTAAAGATGCCACGGCGGAGGAACGAAGCTCCCCTACCAACGCCGTGGCCAACAACTCCCGCAACTGCAACACCACCCTTGAGCGGCGCTCCGGCAACACCGGTGACGATACGACCAGGAGTAGACGAGAAAGTGTTGCCAAAAGTGGATGTGCCCTGTCGTGATCGCTGGACATAGCTGGGTCGGAACAGGAGTCGGATGCGTACGCTTCCGGATTTGCCATCAAGGATGTACTTGGTCTCTGATGGCTTGAAAGGATCCAGAGACTCGAGATTGATGTCGGCAGCACCCAAGAAGTCGGGTTTGTCTGCGAAGTCGTAATCCCACACAGAGAGTTTGAATTGTGCTGCAGTTCTCGAGGGCACATTGACCTCAAAGTATTCATTCCACGTGGGATTCAGAGTCTTCTTTATAACCTTGGTCTTGTGGATCTCCTGGCCGTTGAGCTCGAACTTACAGTAAGGATCACTCTTGCCATTGCGATCAGCTGAGGGAAGGTCAGTAGCATCGAGAACATCAACGCGTAGTGTACCCATGTTATTAATACTCTCGCTCGGGTCAAGCTGCATCTTAACCGGGATGTACTTCAAGCTGACCTTAACACTCGCGGGGCGTCCGTCTTCGCTCTTGAGTTTTAGAGTTGTCGGGTTGTTCTAGGGAGGCTAGTTAGTTTTCAGGCCTATACAGTGAGATCCAATGTCAGTCTTACCAGGCACTGCTTGAGAGTTTCCAGGGTGTTGCCAGCCAGTGAGGCCATGAGATCATCTTGGTCATCACCCTTCTTGCGGGCCCGAAGTGTCAGTCGGGAGAAGTCAAGCTCACGAATGAAGCAATCTCCAATCTCTTCAAACTTGTGGTGCTTGCTACGAGCAGTCGAAGAGACGTAGGACGGGTATGCCATATCATCTACAAGAACCTCCAGCAGTCCATGGCTTTCTGGCATCTCCGCCTCCATGAGTCTGAAGATGAGCAGGCCACTCTCATACCTGAGAAGCTCCTCAGGAGACAATCGGATTTTACGGGGACCCTTGGGCGCCTCGATCGAGGGGCGTCCAACAGTAGTGGGCGTAGGCGGCTCCAGTTGGTTCTCCTTTGGCTTGTCCAGGCTGGCGTTGAATTTACCAGCTTCGCTGGATCTCTGCGGGTTAGGTGCTTGTTCTTCACCGGAGGAGGAATCTTTGTCCTTCTCTGCGTCCTTCTCTGCATCCTTCTCCTTCTCCTTTTCTCTCTCCTCTTCCTCCTCCTCCTCGGGATCAGCGACATTGAGACAGGGATAAAAGGCAACAGTGTAATGCAGAACTCCTTTGGCGATACCCTTGCCATGCAGACGCAGACCATCCTCACGGAGCTGTTTCTTGTCGTTGACGAGGTACTCCCCGGTCTCGTCCTGTGCGACATAGTCGGTGGCGAAGACTTCGACCATTCCCAGACTACGGTCCTTGCCAACCTTTTCTGTATCCATTACTTCCAAAGCAAGTCTATCACGAGCAGAATGGATGGGCACGTAAAGTACCTCGTCCCATTCAGGGTTAAGATCGTTGCGGAAGGTGACAGTCCGTGCTTTTTCAATACCAGAGAGCAGAATTCGAGTGTAGGGATCTGATTTGCCGAACGCCTCGAAGTTTCGTAGATCAGTAGCCTTCTTGAAATGGAGACGCATCACACCGATGGGGGTAACATAGCCACCAGTGCTGGCCACGCCAGAGATAGCGACAGGCCTCCACTGTGCCATCATTTTGACACGACCAGTCTGAGCACCATGCAGGTTATACCATTCTTTACCTTGTTCCATACATTCAAGCATCTCATCGAGCTTGATCTGGTACTTTCCAAGGACTTGGTCTCCAGCAAGATCACGGTCATCCTTGATTGTAAGACCAAGCTTAGCCTTCTTCCGGTCTGTGATCAAAATCTCCTTAGACCCATTGTCCCAGATAGGGTTATTGGTACGCTTCAACTTCTTGGTTTGGTGGACTTCTTTACCATTCAAGAACATAACCGCGTAAGGGTTGAGGGATCCTACAAGACTCTTGGTACCATCCAGATCCTTGGCCTGTTCCACAGTAAATCGAAGGATACCTTGGTTGGATGGAGGTGGAGGTTCATCTTGTCCCTCAGCGTTCTTGACGGTTTCAAGGACAGGAAAGAAGCGAATGTCACACGAAACAACACCTCGAGCCTTGCCATCGGAGATGACCTCCAACCGCTGGTTTTCATGAACATTGAGCTCCTCAACACTTTCCAGGGGGAAAGAAGCAACACCCAGTTCTTTTGACTTGCGGAAATCATTGTGGTCGAATATTTGCATGTCCAGCGAGTCGTTAAAAGAGGTAACAATGATGTAGTGGGTTTCATTCCACCTGGGGTTGGAATTATCATGAACGACTTTAGTTCGGGCAAGCTCCTGGCGTCGGTTCAGGCTCAAGCAGGCGTAAGGATCAACGGTTCCACCAAAGTTGTCGGTGTTCTTCAGACCCTGGGCACCATGGAGAGTCACTGCCACGACACCGATAGCCTGGTCAACGGGAGAGCCGGCCAGCATCTTCGCGACCTCAATAGGGAAGACCTTGGGCGCGTACATCATTGGGGCTAAGTTGCCATGAATCTGCTCCAGGATGAACTTCTCGAGACCAGGAATGAAGTTGATATCGAAACCGAAGTTATCACCACCAAGAGGCTTGCAGACGTAGTCGATTGTTGGTCGCTCCAGGAAGCACATTTCAACACGGTCAATGTGAGGGAAGGGGATTTGCAGCTTGATCTTGAGGCGCATGATACCGGAGAAAGCCATATCCTCGACAATGACGTCGAGGCCCTTGCTGATCATGGCCTTGCCAATGCGGATCTCGAGGACAACCTTGGGATTTATCTTGCTTGAAAGCTGGCGCGAAGTCATATCGGCGGTGTCGTTGGGAGTGAAACTGAACTTCCAATCCATCATAACAATGTCATCCTCAGTTTTGGGGTAGGTTTTGACGTGCTCCATACGAGGAGGCTTGCTGCCTAGGGTAAAGGTCTTGAGCTTGAGACTGTCCAAGAATGACGGGGTAGCAGAGCTCAGAACTTGATCTACTGAATTGATGATGGTCTGAGCAAGAACGGGCTGATAGATGGGCCAGAATTTGACCATGAAGGAATTGATCCATTCCAGGGACTCGTTGTCGTTCTCGAGCTTTTTAAGAGCCATCTCGCGGGTAATGTCGTCTCGGAAGTTACGTCGCACTCGTCGCAGGGACGTTCGGTAGTAGGTCGAGCAAAAGGCCATAATGATGATGATCCAGCCGAGGCCGCCGCCAAAGACAGCGACAAGCCAGGAGGCGATGCAAGCAAAAATGATGACGCCCGTGTTGTGGTACCAATCTGCCCTTGTTAGTGGCCTTTATGCGCATGTAGTTGAATTGAGACATACCACCATAGAGGGTATCTGGAAGCTGTCCCTCGACCCATGTTGCGTGATCGAGGAGACTATCCTGTTCGGTAGCATCGTCAATTGGCCATCCTAATCGAGGGGCCCATCCTGTCCGCGAGAAGGGGGCTTCTTCGGCTTTAGGGTCAGTGCCATCCGCGAGCGGCTTGCCCTGCTCGTCGCGGGCTACATCCAAGGCCCCTTCTTTGCTCGGTTCTGGCAGATCTTCAATGGGGCCGGTGCCGTCATCGACGTCGGTGATAATTGCCGCGCCCTTGGGTCTTCTACTTTGCTGAAGTTCGGGTGGGATGGCCTGCGCATGGCTCACGTTAGTTATAGGTCGCGATTCCAAGAGAAGAGGGGCATACGGCATTGGCTTGAGCTTTCTTCTGCTCTGGGCTCGCATCAGGATCGAATGTGAAAGCAGCGACACCAGCATTCCTAGAGGACTCTACAATCTTTTTTTGGGCATCGTCTGCGGTGACATTGGTTTGAGGGTCTGCAGCAGCCTCGACGAGACCCTGCTGCTTCAGCTCATCCGCTTCCTTTGCGGTAGACATGACGTTTTGTGGTGCAGCGTTGCTGCAGTTGCTGCTTGAACGTGCTGGAACGTGCTGGTACGAGGGGTCTGTTTTGGGCGGTTCGAAGTCGTCAATTGGGGTATTTCAAGCTCTAGGCACCGTCGCGAAGCATTCAAACTGGCAGGTCGATCCCGAACGACCGTCGCAATGGCGTTGGCCGGTTCACTTTGTGGTGAGGTTGCGAATGCCCGCGTAGCCAGCTGAAAGTTGGCAGCTGGTAGCTCGGACACAGGCTACCTTGGAGCTGAGCTGAGCTGAGCTAGGTTGCCTCCAGGTGGATTACGTGCCTAGCTGGAGCTGGAGACACCAGCCTGTTTCAGATGACAGACAGAGGGAGAGGTGATATGGAGAACGAAAGGAAATCGAGAAGGGAAGTTGAAAAGAGACAAGGGAACAGTTGAAGTAAGAGAGGGAAACGTGGAAAGGAAGGATCAGAGGTAATAAGAAACCAAGCCAAGGGATTGGAAGGTGGAGGAAATCCTGGCAGAAGATGACAAGAAGAGACAAGTCAAGTCAAGTCAAGACATGGAAGACCAAGATTTGGGCCTGGGCTGTTCCAGTGGTGCAACCTGCAACCCGCAGACGCAATTGCAGCCCAGTTGAGTGGCTTCGTTCCAAGCTTGTGGTGGTCGTCGAGGTGTAGGTACTGGAAAGTGAACCGATAAAGGGTACTAAGTAAGTACTTGGCAAAAGGCACAAGGCTCTATATATGGCAGTGTCATTTTAAAGTTACTCTCGCTAGTGGGAGGGAGCTAATTTGTGGCTCAATAAGGGAAATTGAAGCAGCCGAGAGTTCGATCATTATCAGCAGAAGTGGAGTCAACATTTGTATGTAGACAGCTGGAACCAGCCCAGCTAGGTAGAGGCTCGAAGCTAGTACCTAGAGCCAGTGATCGGATACAGTGGAGTTGGAGGGTGCCTGGGCTTCAATAGAGGGTGTTGATTGCGGGCCGAGCGAGCGAGCGGCAGAGAATCCAGGACCCGTCTCGATGATGATCAGCATTCACTGAATGTAAAGGGTATGTATCGTGGTACTGTGAAACAAACGTCTGTAGACTAATAGTGGAGGTAATTGACCACTTCTCTTGTTTTGTGCAGTTGTCCTCTCATCCGTAACACAGGTAGAGCTTCCAGAGCTCTATTAGCCAGCTCTGCTCAAGACTGTTTCTCAACTACAGTGCCTCCAGAGACACAAATGCTTTGGGCCGAGTACTGCAACATACTGAGGTATTATCTGCAAAAGTCACCTATCTATGTACTCTGCACTACCAGTAAACAGTGTTCAAAAGTCACCCCATCCCAAGAAAAGCTCTCAAGCCTCCCTAGATCCCTTCCCTCCCCTGCCAATCACCAAATTCCCTGGCTAGTTTTATCCCTGCCGCGCTGAGCAACTGGACACGACCTACGTAATTGATGGTCCGGGGGAGCTCAACCTGGCTTGTGACGGAAGTATTCAGTGGGCCGGGACCCTCGACGACAAGGATCCTGGGGTTTCCAAGATCGAGCAGAGGAGTCTTTTCTGTATTTGGTTTGGTGTCGGTCCCTGGAATCCCTGCTTCGTTTACTGCTAGCACGGCTGAAGTTGGTTACGTAGCTCGGAAAATCTCCAGCTGGTGGTTTTTTCTTTATTCTTTCTGGTTTGGGTTTGACTTTGTTGATGAGACATGAATTCGTGGCTCCTGTTGTGATGGTTTCCCTTTTGTTCCATAACATAATATGTAGCCACATGAAACCAACTGCTGGCACAACTCGATACCAGAAACACAATTGTAATCTGACTGGTTAGTCTTGACGAAACAGTTTCCTTGCTGTGCAATCTCGCCTCCAAGCCTGTCATACTCAGAGGCATTGAGTGAGTGTATCGCGTGTTCGTTGTGCACGCACCACAGTAGGGAAATGCTGCAAGAAAGACACAAAAACAGCCTGTCCTCTCTCCAACAACTCACACTGTTTTGGCCTCACTGAGTTCCACTTCTGGGCTGTCACCTTGCATTCGAAGCCTTCCTTTCTCCCTCACCTGCAGCTGCATCTGCACTGCCACTCCGCTTGACCTGAACGCTAGGTTCACACTACTGTGCCCCAGGGACGAGGGAATCTCCAATAGGTTGCTGTGCTTTGGCCAGATACCCAGTTTCTGTTGCCTGTGAACTTGGGTCAACGTCTCCTCTCATGGAAATGAAGCTATTAATAATGCCATTTCTGGGGGAAATCTAATGAGTCGCTTTGGAGGTTAACACAGGTGGAACAAAAAGCAATGCAGTTTGTTTGCTTGCTAAGATTAGGTACTAAGTCAATTGTTTGACTGATAGGTACTGTTTGTACTAAGTTAACACAACCGCCCTAAGAGGTTCCCTTCTTTGACCGGAACAATCAACAATCGATAGGTAGACATTCCAAAGTGTACCATGAATCATCTAACCAAGCAGACCCAGTAGTGTGCCATTTGCTACAAATTGACATATCAAGAGTCATTGTATGGGGACTTTCTTAAGTTGCAGCAGTTCTTGTAGCCTTTCACGAATATGGAGATGTCATCAACACTATAGTACTACGAGCCAACATAATGCATCTGTTGCTCTCAGCCTGGTCTCGACGCCGAATAGTGAGTATCACTATGCTTGCTCCAGAGGAAACCAAGCTAACGATACGGTAAAAGTCATGTTATTCTCGCCAGATAGGCTCATCTCGGCTCTTCACCAGAAATCACAGCCGGCTCCAGTGTGCAGGCACAAAACCAGCCTTCGAACCATCGTCTCAGCAGCTGAGGGTCGCAAAACTCTGCGCTGACCAGAATGTCGTGGTATCAGCAAGACCCGGATCAGGCAAAACCGCCACCATAGAAGCAATCGCGGCTGCACACCCTGACAAGAGAATTGGAAGCATTCTCTTCTCAAAGAGACTTCAGAGTGAAACCTCTCATCGTCTCAAGAAGTACCACAACAGCGATGTATACACTTTTCATGGCATGGCGGGTGTCCTCCTTGGACAAGTGGTTCCGAGCGATGAAGCACTTATCAAGCTCTTGGAGAATATCAATAAGTGCGGCAAGCTTCCACGATGGGCCTCAAACCCTTTCGACATTATTGTACTAGACGAGTTTCAGGACTGCAACCCAGAAACCTTCTGGCTAGTCGAGTGCTTTGTCCGGGCTAATAACCTCAGGAAAGGGGGCCAACCCGCGCGCATCGTCGTCCTCGGCGACGAGCGCCAGTCGATATACCGCTTTCGTGGTGCTGACCCTCGCTATCGTGGTGCTGACCCTCGCTATCTGACGCTGGCCCCTGAGGTGCTGGGTCCAATCAGTCCCTATCCATTTGCAGAATTTCAGTTAGGCAACAGTTTCAGACTGTCCTCATCAGCTGTCCAGTTCATCAACCGTGTCTTCCTTGGTGGAGAGCAGTACATCTCCAGCTCGAAGCGTGGCCCAAAGCCCATTGTCCTGAGATGCAATATTTGGGACAGTCTGGCAGTGGCTGGAGCGATTTACCCCCTGATAAAGCGTTACAAGCCCGAGAACTGCGTGATAATAGCACCCTCTATTCGTACGAAAGGACCATTGCAAGACCTTACAAATGCGTTGGTCCAGGTCTATGGTTTGCCGATTAATGTACCCACTGATGAGGAAACGCCTCTCGACGACATCGTGATCAACGGAAAGTTGTGTATCTCTACGATACATCAGTTCAAGGGCCGAGAGCGTAAGCTTGTTATTCTTCTAGGCATCGACGCCTCCTATTTCCAGTTCTTCGGCCGCGACTTGCCAGATGACGGCTGTCCCAATGAAGTTTTTGTGGCTTTAACGCGCTCTCTGCATCAACTTGTATTGGTCCATAACGACGAAAGTAAGATGATGCCGTGCGTATCCCTCGATTCTCTGTACGATACCGCCAAGATAGTCACCTTGACAAAGAAACGAACAAAAATCTCGCACCCTGATCTACCCGGACGCCCCCTAGAGCTGGGCCTTATGCTTCCAAAATCCTGTGGAGCCCGTGAAATAACGCGGTATGTCCAGGGCGATGCCCTTGATAAGCTTGTCGAGCGCCATCTTCGTGTAGACAGGCTAGCGTCTCCTCTCCCTTGCCATGAACACATCAACATAAGGAACGTGGTACTCTCGGATCCGAAAAGGGGGTTATATGAGTCTGTTAGCGACATCAATGGCCTTGTTGTTGCTGCAGCTCTAGAGCTGGACACAGCGGGAACATTAAGGTCACTAGGGCGACCAAGTGAAGGAGAAGTTGATGAAACTTTGCCAAAATGCCCCGAGAAGCTTGTTGCTTGGCTTTGCCGGAAAGCTTGCGAGTATGAAGCGAGTCTCTCTGGATATCTACCGCGTGTGATTCAGATGAAAGACCACAAGTATGACTGGATCAAGCCCGAAGATCTCATCCTTGCTCGGCGTCGACTTGATAGTGAGCTAGTGGATTCTGCCCAAAGGCTGAATTTTGAAGTCGAAATGCAGCAGCAATTCTATATCGATGGCCAAGAAACTCAACTCTGTGGTCGAGCAGATATTGTAAACAATTCCACTACCGATAGCAACGACGACATGGATAATCGAACAGTATGGGAGATCAAGTTCGTCTCAAGCCTTTCCAACGAACACGTCATCCAGACTTGCATTTATGCCTATTTGTTAGGCTCGGAGTCTGGAAAGTTACCACGCATCATACTGTACAATGTACGAGATGGGGACAAGCGCGAGATCATACCACGCCATGGAATAGAGGGGTTGAGACAACTGATCGCAAGTGTCCTTAGACTTCGGTATACTTCGAAAGGAGAGATGGCATATGAAGAGTTCATCAAAGGGTGTAGCAACACAACGTGGAAGGTGATGAATCTCAGTGATGGGTCATCGTGAAAGTCTAGAAGTGAAAATTAATCTCAAGACTCAGGAAGAGTATGAGATTCGCCGAGATACTTCACAGCATAGAGATATATTCATTCTAGAACATTGAAGTTTCACAATTCCTATCCAAGGGGTAGATTTTTGTATCTAGACTCATGTAGGCCATATCTCAATCTTATTATATTTTTATAATTTTATATTTTTATATTTTTTTGGAAACCGCCGAGGTCATAGGGCAGGGAGGCTTGCCAGGCAGAGCGTTGGTAGCATACTTGTTTGACCTCTCTTTCGCTAGAGCATTGGGGCATCAACTGTGTTCGCAAGTTCAAGCTTTGCATGATTGTAAGATGTGAACTCTTCATGTCCTATCAGAGACCAACACGACTTGCGTTGATGGAACCATCAGACTGTCAACCCCTTAGTTTACTTGCATATATATGACGACGTAGCCTGCCACTTTCGGACTCTTCTTTTCTGGCTGTGCTGCAACGTTTGAGTTTGATATAGGTAAGGATACTGAGCTAGATAGCACTGACGATAGACTCATGCAATCAAAACAAATTGACAAAACGAAGGAGTCAGCTTTAAAATCAGGCTATCGACACAGTGGTTTACATTAGAGTGAATTTCATGTGTATTTCTCTATTCTTGGTCACATCGTATTGAAACATCCAATACTTTTTGCACAACTACATGACCCATATTCAAATTCAAATGCTGCAATGAACAAAGGCACAGTAGCCAGTGCTCAACCAAATCTAAGACATACAAAAATGCTGAAAAGTGGCCAGTCCCATATCCGTTACGCCATTCTCATATGCAATAAACGCCTCTCTCCTTAGTAACCCAAGCCATGCTGGTGAACTGGACACCTTCCGGGGTGTTTACGAAACCAAGACGAGATGCAGTGCTTGTGAAATCTGCACAGGCACTCCAAACGTGCCATTTGATCACCGACTGTGAATTCTTCGAGGCAAATGGTGCACTCTGCATCATCGATGCAATCCTTCTCCGTTGCAGAATAACAATACATGCCTGTTAACCGGGGTACAGCTGGTGCTCCGCCATCCTCACTAGCGCCCAATGTTCCATACGCGCTGTGAGTCTGGATACACTTCGTGATATGTGACTGACGAAGTTCCTCAGCATTTGGCAAGCTCTGGGACGGCAGCTCACGATGGCAAACAGGACATTCGTCTTCCTCGGCAATCTGTGGCGTAGGCGGAAGTGCCCGCTGCCTGGTTGATGATTCTCCTAGTGAACTGTAGCGATCTGGATATGAAGATGCCGAAGCAGCCTGACCACTTGCTTGGACTCGATCAAAACGCGACTGGAACGCTCCACTACGTCTTCTATAGGTAGGACCAGGAGAAGAGCCAGACGATGCCGAGCCCTAGTGATACGTCAGTTATGCAAAAGTTCAACGAGAGAAGGGCCAAGTACCATTGTGACACTCCTCGTCCTGAGAGAGAGATATCTGTACGGGTCGCCACCGGTGCCAGGCGCGAAGACTGCACCATGTCGGTTAGACGGCTGCAGTGTTCCATAGGCATCACCGATACTGCTTCGTGACCTCTGGTGAGAAGTTCGTGGTGAAAGAGTTGCTTGTGGACTCGGGCTTTGCGGGGGCGCTGTATTCGGATCTGGTACGCAGGGATTGCAAAGCCGTACCCGTTCACCTCCCGACATATCGTTCACATCAAAATATCCAGCTCCTAGTCCGTCCACAAGCAGTGATTGATGGATGGCTGCCTCGGAGCCAGGTTGCCGTACAATATATTGGTGGGGGATGATGATCCTATGTGGTGAACAGGCGTTGCAAACAACTCGTCCACATTTCCTGATCTGATAAGCATGTACAATCAAATATTGTCTGGGTATACCTCGACCTACCTGCAGTGATGTTTGCGGATGAAGAAACTAAATTGCGTGTGGCAGATAGGGCAATATGTGACCTCATTATCCGGCTGCCACCTTGGGCGTTGCTGATCTGAAGATATTGACTGGCGAGCAGAGCGCGGAAGTGGTGGAAGTGCCTCTTCCAAAGGTCTTGGGGATGGTAACGGTGCATCCATTCTTTCTCGGGATGGAGTTGTGTGCGCTCGTTGAGCCCTTTGTGAGTTTGGTGTGATTGAGTGTTGGCTGGACCTTGCTCTCTGAACCGGGTTGCCAGTGATAACACTCTGAGAATCAGGTTGCTCGAACCGCGTATTATGTGGTGTACCTATCGAAGACTGACCCGATTCCTGGGCAACCGTGGGGGGTAAAATAGCTTGGTTTGATGGAGGATCGCTCGTAATATAGGCACCATCTCTGTCAACGTTCGCATGGTCCGAGTCTGGGGTTGGGACATTATCCCTAGTGATCCCAACTTGTGCAAGCTCTTGGTTTGAGAAGCGAATAGTTTGTGCTCCAGACTGATCTCGCTCGACATCAGTGCGAGAGTGATGCGAGCTGTAGGTGGATTCTTGGTCTCCTGAACCACTCTCCGATAGACTCCGCTCGATGGTGTGGGATGGGCAGTCGAAGTATCGCGAACATTCTTGGTGATGGAAGCGAGGATTCCGCCAAGGGCAAACTGGATCTTGGGTGTTATCTTGGTGGTGGTGATGTGGGTTTGGGTCGTTCTGGTCAATTTCGTGTTGGCCATCATCGCTATACGACGAATGTGAGCTCGGAGAACTACTCGACACAAGAGCACTGTAGTCTCTGGCAGCCTCCGAGGCGAACTGGCCTGAAGCACCCGAAGGGCTGGCCATGGCAGCTCATTAAGACTCGGTTGTTAACGAGGGGGGTGATTGGAAATGCGTAGCCCTCGTCTAATGCAACATGGGTTGATGATATCGGTCGAGAGGATGGGACCCGAGCTTTGTATTGCGGGAGTGTGTAGGTAAAAGAAGAAATTCTGAGTTCGAGTGCGGCGTTTGTCGGCAGTAGGATTACTTGAACCTATATCAGATGCGATTAGAAAATGGTTGGTTCAAGGCTAACTCGCATGATGCATGATAGATACTAGGTAGCTCGGTGATAGCCAGGATGGTAAGTCGGTACTGAGTCAGGTCTGGGAGATGTAGCGAGTTGAACGTACTTTTTAGGTGATCAAAAGATGATGCGAAGATGATGTAGAGTCGCACTCAAGACAAACAACCTTTCAAAAGTGATTCGAATCAAGTCGTGCCGAATTATTTGTTGATTGAAGTAAGTTATTGGAAAGTTTAGTTGGTCCAAAAGGGCTGGCCTTGGGCTTCCACGGGTCCGCTAGGACTGGGCTTGCGGCAGGCCCGTCTCATCTGAGGGGCTGCCCGCTCCGAAGAAGTGGAGCTGGGGGAATCATTCGCCCACGCGATCACCCTTGCATCACCTAGCAAACTACGGAGTACCTAGACGGGACCTCTAACCTCCATACCTACTACCTTAAGGTAGGTAGCCTTATTACCCCCTGGGATTCAACGTGCAACAGAGATCACTTTGCTAACAAGGTGTACAGGGTGGTAGGTGCTATTTCAGCTTGCCTTTGAGCTACTAACCTCAAGGTACACTAACCACTTCACATCTCAAACAGACAACTCAGTTTTATACCATCTTTCGAGCTCCCCTCGCTAGGTGCCTTGGGTAGTTATCGATGTTTGGGCTTTTGATAGGTTAGATAACGCTAGATCTATAAGCATTTCTCTCTCATTCTCACACCGCAGCTCACTTGACCACTCACGCGCTAACTTGAAATGTATCAGGTGGACACACCTTATTACCTGGCAGTCTGGGCAGATCTGAACCCTTATCGCCGACTGTTAATTAATCAATATCATCTTATTAGCCCGGTATTGGCGATTAATTACCCCATAGTGTTGTTAGTGGCCTAGACTCGAAAGGTACCCATTCACCTTTTAACTGTAGGTACCTATCTTCACTTCTTCTATCAGAGTTGATCCAAATCAAAACGTGAAGTCCATTTCAGACGGATGATCTCAGCTCATCACCCAAGCTCCCCAGATCTTCCTCTAGTTAAACTCCTTTCACTGCCAGCTGCTTGCTCTCCTGAAGAAAAAATACCATTCGAGCCCAGTTCTCCTCATCTCTCTTGACCCATTGGTGCTTTGTCCCACGTTGGACTGCCACATCCCCTCGCTTCATCACACGATTTTCCCCCGAGTCGAGCACCAACTCCATCTCACCCTCAATCACGACTCCGTAGTCTATACTCAGTGTTCGATGAATGGCTGATCTACCGGGTGGGAAATCAACAATCCGGAGCACCGACCCTCTAGGGACACTAAGCCCTGGAGAGTTGTTAAGTAGTTTCCACATGTCTCTATGTCTGTATTATCTTCGAGATCAACTGGAAAGCCTTGAGTGACGTAGTCGAGATAGAAGACGTGTGTCGAGAGGACAGCCTCGGGTAAGTCATCGTTGAGCCGTGTGTCAAATATCGCGTTTTCATCGTCATTATGCTTGGTGATGAACCGTTTTGGTTTGGGCAAGGTATTATCTGCCGCAACAGAAAAAAAAAAATGAGAATAAAAACGCGAAAAACGGAAAAGAAAAAAAAGGGTTTAGCTATTTGACGTGTCATTGTGATATACAGTTCAAAGGTTATTCTTGGGTTGAGCTCGAGGATGTAGTGAGGATATCTCGTTTCTATATACCTCAGGATAGCTCACTCCAGGGCCAATCTTCATCCAATACTATGTCTCCGCTAAGTGTCACCCATCAACTTCCTTCTTGTGGAAACTATTCGTTGATGAATCAATATGACGTTCTTGTCCCCCCTTGAATCATCTGACCCAGCTTAGTCGAGCACATCGAAAATGCAAGCCCTATTGTTCAAGTAGTACATAGCCTGGTATACCTCTAATCTTTACGTGCCCTGAACATTATTCGGGTCTCGAGTGAATACTACATTTGTTTCGGGTTGCTCATATGGGTATCAAGTACTCTCCCTGAAAATGAAAGTCCCTGGACGAGATTTGGAGGATAAGTTCAGAGAAAGCTTGGTGGTACGGAACTCTCTTCTT